TATATTTGTGTGCATGTAAAACAAAGACATTTGTCATCGTGAGAAAAAAAGAGAAAGTGAAGCGTCGACCACGAGGCATTGTCTCGTTCCAAGCTTGCCGTCAGGCAGAAGACCGACAAGCTTTTTTCGAAAAAAAGAAAAAGCCGACAATAACGGCGCCAGTCTTTGATTTCCCGAATCATAAATCTTTTTCTTTCGTACATTTGGACATATCTACGAGTTTTCGGTGCCGGATAAACCCCGCGTTTTTACATTCCGTCGTTATATAGTTGAAACCTTGATTAACGACGCGATAAAAACGAAAGAAGAAACGAAGCGCCTGGCATGCGCCTTTCGTTTATGAGGATTTTAATAGTCTTGCTGATATGAAGATTAATCTTGTATTATACGACTATTATGCATTTTTCGACGACACGTATTTGCATCGACGAGTTTTTCAGTGGCTGTGTATTATTGTACAGCGTTGTGGCGTTGAGGATGCGTGAGCGCTTCCATCGGATAAGAATTCCTGTGCGAGATAAGCCGAGCCGAGGTGCGAGAGGTCGGTTGGAAGGCGGCACGACAATTGAACGTAGAGCCCGAACGAAACCATAAAATTCACTGAATCGATGGCAGCAAATGAGCGCGCAAATGAGCGCCGCGCGAGCAAGCCGAGGAGGGCGCGCGCCGGAACAAATTGGCGCGGCGACTTATCTATAAAAGCTGCTCGCAAGTAGCGCGCAGCAGCGGCCGTACAAAAGAGACATTACAACGAACGACAATGGGCCTGCACGCGAGTCGCGAGAGCGCGGCAAGCTATACATAGGTAGAGAGCTTCGCGGGCACAAGAAAAGGCTGAGCGTGCGTGCGCTCGCTTCCTGTAGTTAACGAGCCGCCGATCGGAAATCGCCCGCTGCGCCGCCACCGGCGTTCAGCTGTTCGGCGCTCGCCCACCAAGCGCAAAGATTTGGGAAAAGGCAGACCGTCACCGGCGCGCTCGCGCCCTCGACGAGCTTCGGAGACGAGCAGACTCGGACGTCGGCGGGCCTGGCGTCCTCGAGCTCCGCAGGTGTAACGCGCGGACGGACAACCGAATTCGATCGCGCAAAGAGAGGACCAAGCGGAAAAGTGATCGACCGCTGTAAGCTCGTCGGAGAAAGCCGGCTTAATTCGCGCGCGCGCGCGCGCGGTAATCAAGAAGCGAGGCGTCGATTCCAAATGCAGCTGGAGGCGTCAGCTCATTTGCTCGACAACGTCGAACGGCAAAAAAGTGCGCGCGCGCACGCGCACGACGATAACGATCCTTCTTGTAATTAAACAGCCGTCGCCGGAGCTTGCGCTCGAGGGCTTTTTTCTCCTCGGAATGTCGCCAGCCTCATTAAGTGTCATTATTACAGGCAGACGATCAAAGCCAAATGGAATAATTCGAGTGAGAACGCATTTCGAGGCGGCGAATGCGCGACTTTTCCACGCGAGTACGAAGGGTTCGCGCGCCGAACCAAATGTATGTTAACAAGGAAAACGAGCTGAGAAGACGCGCAGCGAGAGTCTGAGTGTCGTCGCGCGAGACTGGAAATGTCGAAATGAAAAGAAAAAGCAGCCCGAGAGTAGTAGACGGGAACAAGAGGAATGTATAAGTCGAGTGCAGCGATTGCAGTAATAAAGCCTTATGCAATTCAAGCAAATTACCGAGGAGAACTGCAGAGGAATCGGATCTTCAATGGCTATCTTACTTTCATCTTGACGCTTTACGCTGCAGTGAACGAGAACAATTATCATGGCTGTCGAATGCAAGATTTATACCGCTAGAGTCGAGTTATAATAAATTTCGGGCAGCTTGTCAAAGACATTCCAAATAAACGAAGATAATTCGAAACCTGGCGCGATTCCTCTGAACACTCAGTGAAATCGGTCCATCGTCGTCGACACGGTCGAAACGAGTCATCCGCTCTCGTTCTGTCTCCCTCCTCGAAAGAAATATCAAATATCAGTGGGTCGTCGACTCAGCCGAGCGCTAATCTAAATCGCTGGATCGACAGAGACGAAAAAAAGGCGCAGCACAAGAATATCGCCAGAAGATCTTATTCATGAGTCAGAGCTCGAGGCTCGGTCCCGGCCGTTGCGTCCCCGCTTTTTCCATTCCCCGCGAAAAGCTCGTATCAACACGCGCGCTCAAAGAAAGAGCAAAGCCACGCGGCTCTCGCGGCTCTCGCGGCTCTCGCGGCTCTCGCGGCGAGTAGCAAGGAAGAAAGAGGTGAAAACACTTGGGCGAGAGTGAAAGCGCCGAGTTATTTTCTCTCTCGCTTCTGCTTTTTCCTCTCGATTCGTCACTCGGCTGCGCGAAAAAAAAGCAGAGCGGGCATTTTTCGTCGCCGCGAAAAATGCGAGAAAGCCCTCGTGACGGCGCGTCGTTCGGCGCGCTGCCGCCGATTATCGAAAATGAAGCGAGCGAGGCACGGAAAATAAAGCACGCCTGACGTTCCCCCGGACTCCGCGGCAAGACAAAAAAAAAAACAAGGAAAGACAGAATCGTTTAATCTTTCATCGCTGCGAGCTCGCCGTGCTTTAAAAGCGATGCTGTGAAATTAAATTTTTAATAAGTTTCCAGGCAAATTTTCGCTCCGCCGTTGTTGCCATTTTTTCCATTCCGCTTTTCGCTCGCGCCATAGGCTCTCCGCTCCTTCGCTGGCCTTTAATTTCCGACGCTTTTAATTTCCCGCGGCTAATTGCCGCGATTTTTCTGGCTTTGTGCTCTGCGAATAAAATATGCGGAGCGCGCAACGAGGGCACCTACAATCGATGTCGCGTGATTTCCAGCTGGGCTGCGAATTTTCCGGCTGCAGCAGAGCCAGAAAAAGGTTCTATCGTCGCAGTGAACGACGAAAAAGGAGAGACCGCAGATTAAGCACCGCGCGCAGGAAGGTCAACTTACAGACTGGCGGATGCATAAAGAAGATAATGCGTCCGAAACTGCAGCGTGGCCTTATCTACAAGGAATGGCCCTAAATCAAAGATACGTTTTAATCCAAAGATAAAGCGGATGGCGGCGGTGGCGACAACGGACGGCCTCCTAAAGAGAATTCAAAGAGTGCGCGCGCGCGGCGCGCAGCTGCGTGTAACAATGAAAATACCAGAGTAACTTTCTACGTCCGGGTTTTAGTCGCTGGTTCGCCGCTGCACACGTGTGCCCCAATAACTTATTTAAGTTCGCGCGGATGCGTCATATCAGACAGCCTCGTTGGCCTTTTTGGGGGGTTGAGGGAGCTTTCGTAGAGGTGACTTTTTGTTTTGTTTTTTTAGAACGTGCCGATGCGCAGTAGCGGGCTCTTTTTTTTTCGAGGGTGCGCGCGCCCATCGTCAAAGCTTCTGCCGGACCGAGTATATATTTGGAGCTTCGTTAAGAAAGCGCGAGCATTCGCAAACGAAGCTCGAACAATTGAACCGTCACTCCGCGTTTCGTACCGCAAGCGATTCAACTTCGATGTCTCTATTAAGAAAATGCTAATGATACGTGCACTATATATTACGCTGTAGGCGCCTAACTAAAGTCAGCTCATTACGAAGTAAATCGCTTACTTAGCGTTCGCGTCCATTCAATATTGAAACGGAACTCCACGCATGCACTCGCGACAAGCATAATCAGGTTTCACGCAACAGAGTTAAATAAATGACTATCGACGTGAGGAGGCACGATTATTACCATTATTTTTGTCTTCGCGTGAGCAATCGAGAGGAACCGAACAGCTCGCTCGTGAAAACGAAGAGTCGCGCGTCGGCTGCGCGGGCGAATTTGAAATTGAAATGAGCAGCCTAATTAGCGGTCCGCGGAAAAACAAGGAGAGCTGTCGCGCGGCCGAGAGAGCAGAAGGTTCGGCGAGCGACGAGGTGGTGGCGGAAGCAACGCTGCTTTCTACACTTGCCCATTCGCCGACGCACTAGGGCTTGAAGCTTCGCGAGAGTATTAATAATTCAGCCTCGCTCGCTCGCCGGAGTCTCGTTCTATTTCGACTTTCGCGCGAACTGAAAAATTCGTTGAAAAAAGAAAAAATGGTCGGCGTGCCCGACGACAAATATCGAACGTGTCCGAGGCCCGCGAGTACGGTTTATTTTTCACTTCAGCCTGTTCACCCAGCGCTAGAGAGCAGCGTGATATTTGAAAAAGAAAAGAAGAAACAATGGGCGCGTGGTAGGATTTTAATTGCACGCACTTATCGCGTTGAATTCGTGACTCACGATTTCCCAGGCAATTTCCACGCTCGCCGCTGATAATTCGGTATCAGGTCAAAGACACGAAACGGAAAGCAGGATACAATAGTACGCGAAAGAGAAAAATGAGAAACTCGCTTTATGGATATTGTTTGGAATGTCGACGGTAGTGGCAGCGCCACCGCGGGTTCCAAGCTCTCTTCTATTTCTAGGTCAAGGATTTTTACGGCCAATCGGTAAAAACTCGGCCGCAGAGTGCTTTTTCTCTCGACGTCCAGAACGGCGGAAGAGTAGGAAGATGGTGGCCTTCGGCGGCGAGAAAAAATACAGAAAAATATGGTACGATTGAATCGAAGCTTCCTGCCACCGTCGGCGGAATACGAATGACTTTGTGCGTGTGCTTTATGCTTCGAGTCTTGATGATCAAAGATTGATTGCGTGGGAGCATTGACATCGGCGCATCGATCTACTCTTGCGATACGATTGCGTGACTAACGCTTACTCGACGTACAAATGTTTGGTAATAAGCGTTCGATCGAGATATCGAGATATCGAGTGGTGCAAGTGACCCAGTAATCGAAAAAAATTCATTCGCCTAAAAATAATTGCACCAAACGATGGCGCGTTGAGAACGTAGAGCAACGCAGGATGCGAACATCCCAAGTTTTCATCAAACAGTATTTAGCCCTCTAAAAGGAAAAAACACGCAAAGCTTGACGAGTCTCGGCATTCCCACCTTCGATCTCGCGCTGCAAAACGAGTTTCAACGAGAAACCTGCAAAAGAAGAACATGAAAGGGAAAAAAAGAAACTCACCGCTCTATCATCAACGTAGACAGGCGAGAAAGCCGGTTTGCCAATAACATCTCGCAGCGTAGCGAGCACAAGTAATGCCAGCGTGGTCGCCCTGGCGGCGGTAGCAGCAGCGCACAGCTCGCGGCTAATCATCGCTGCAAACTCTCGCGTGTAAACCGCTGCGTGGCGCCTTCACAGAGGCACTCGGTGGAAGAAGAGGAGAAGCAGGAGGAGGAGGAGGAGGAGGAGGAGGAGGAGGAGGAAGGCGGCGGTGGCAGTGGCGAGGACGACGCTCGCCATCGGTCAGCTGTCACTGACTGCTGCTAGCGACCACGACGAAAGCCTCGAGCTTGTGCTCATCCTCGCCGCCGCGCCAGCAACGTCGCTCAGCATCTTATCGCATGGCTGTTCGGTCCGCCCCCAATCGCCTCTGCCGTCGCTGGCGATGAATGCTGCAACAGGACAATGGCGACCTTGAGTCTCGATCGTCGACTGGCTGTTGGCTGGTTCCGGCTCTCGGCCGATTAGTCAGCGCGAGCGCTTCGGCGAGCTCCGGATTCCCGACGACGATTCCAGCGGCGAGCGAATCGATCGCCGCTTCGTTCGCCGGACTCGCGACCACCGACGGCGGTGGCTAATCAGCTCGGCCGAGCAGCGCGGTGCCACGCCGGCGACTCGCGGCTGAAACTGAACTATGCCGGCTGCCAGTTTGCGAACTGTTCGCGACGAGACGCGAGCTTTTCGGGAATCGCAGCTCTGCCAACGCGCCGCTGCTCATTCAAATTCCAGAAGCCGTCGGGCGTTGCGCGTGCAGCCGCCGGCTCCCGTCTGCCAGACACTTCCGGAATCCGGCACAGCACGTTTTACCGGACTGCCGCGAGGGCTTCGCAATACGTTCCTCGAGTCCTCGCCTCGTTAGCCCCGGCGCGCCTGCACGTTGAAAATGCGAACGATGGACGACGAGTCGCCTGTCCGATGCATTCTCTCGTTGGCGGGAAAGCAGTGGTAAATCGATCCTGCTGCGTTCGTGATAAGCTGGCGTGTGCGCGTCGGCGGAAAGCACTTTTACCTGCTCGTTTCCGCGTAATAGGCTCGACAAACGCCGCAGGTGACTCTCGGAAATACAGAAAGACGCGCGATAAAGGTGAGTCAACGTTGCGGTACCTGCACGCCCCTCGCCTCGCGATCGTCGTTCGAGAAAAAATAAATAAAAGTACCGCTCGCTTTTTGTTTCTCCTTCCTTCGTCTCGCTTCTCGAAAGGAAACCGTTCCGCCTTTTTGTTTGTCGTCGCGCTGACTAAACGCATGTACGTGCAATTTTGTGTATACGCGTGTTTTGTCAGTTGATCGCGGCGGGAGTGCATCGCAGAACGGCAAACGTTATAACGAGTATCCTCACGGATGAAAAACCGTCTAATTTAATGTTTCGTTGCGTCATTATAATTGACGACGCTTTGGTAAACGACATCGTTCGCGATAAATGCATTCATCCTCTCGCAATTGCACTCGTGAACATTAAAATTGTCCGTTAGCAGGTACTTAGCTACACTAATATTTCACGAGTTTTCGCTGCACAGCGACATGCAAGATCGCCGCTAATAAAGATGGAAAAGACGATTGAAGGGTAAATCATTGGTCTCGATAAGCCAAGCTAATCCATCTAACGCTCGGCGATGATCGCGTCGAATCAGCGAAACTTTCCCGGCGTCAAAGAAACGAAGGCATAAGTTACGGCGAGCGTCGGGCGAAAGAATCCGCAGGCAGAATCCGACAGCGTTCAAAACGAATAACTAAAGTTCCGGGGCTGCCTGCCTCGTTACTCACTCTTTTTCCGTGCGCGCGCGTGCGAGAGATCGCCGAAAGTTCCAGCTCCATTCGGTCCGTTCGTCTCGCGTAATGGGGCTCGAGAGCTCGCGAATGCGGGTCGCGGCCTCCTCTGCGCGCGCGCGCGCCTTCCGATGATCAAGCGGCGCGCCTCGCGGTAAATCACCTGCTGCGGGACGCGCCGCCCGTAGTTGCTCTTTCCCCTTCTCGATAAAGTAAAGAAAAACAGCGAGCCGAGCGCGCCTGCTCCACTCCGCGATCAGGGTTTTATCAATTTTTTCCCTCTTCGCGTGCGAGCCGCTATTTTTCCTTCGTTTTTCGTTTACTCTTTCCTTTTTCTAGCGATTACTTTGCACGAGCTTTCGCGACTTGGACGGTGAGCACTTTTTGTCCGATACGCGTCACACACATTCGATGTACTGGGAAATTGAAAACTTTTCGAAAAACCGCGCACCAATGACGCTTCGTCTGAAAAAACGTTGCTCGCTGTGCACGCGGGCGCCCAGTGAGCTTATAAGCCTCGTTCGATAAGCCTTGACTCGCGATACGCACCGACCGGCGCTGCACAATTATGAATTTCGACGGCGAACCGCGGGCAGGGATCGTCGAGAAGAGCCCTTGCATATCGCAGCCCTGGGAAATGAGGAGTGCGAGTGGAGTCGCGCAAAATAAAAGTCGTCTTGTTTTAACTGCGCGCAACTCCAACTTTGCAAGTTCTCTTCCTTTTTTATTTGCAAAGTTCTTCCAACTCTGTGCCATGTTGCTTGGCCAAGCTCGGCATGTAGCATTTTTTATTATTGCAGGCGCGTATTAGAAAAATGAAAACAAAAAAAAAACGCGATTGCGCGTAGATTAAGGGATAAGGTATTACATGCCCTGTGTGAAAGTTGAATATTTAATATTTCACGTTGAAAGGACGAGTAGTCGAACTTTTTTTCTCATTCATAACAAAATTAAGGGAGTACAGCTTTGAAACGTTCGCAATTGAAATCATTGTTCTCCGAATCGGACCCACGAGATCTCATATCGTTTTTAGTAGCTAATATCTCGTTGATGACGACACGAAGGGACACGAAATTCGTACCACAGCTTTCGGACACTTTAATACACTTATCCTCCAAGTTTCAAATGATTTTTTATTTCTCTTAGTCACTATACAGCCTTAATGCTACCAAGTTTCATGAAAAATTGAAACAGTCTTTTTTCGAAGTGACAAAGCCTTATACGACTAAAGTAAATGTCATAAATTGACCGAAAATCCCTCTTGCTCTTCATCTCAGAGGTGGCTCCGCAGATAAGCCTCGTATCTTTATGAGCGAGTACCAGTACTCCGTGTACCATCCCTTAGTCAGCATATCTATGTATTTCGCGTTTACGCAAGCTCGGATTGCATTGTCGTAAAAGTGGATAAAAGCTGCAAGCGAGAGACTGACGCCACTGCTAATTATTGTCTGTTACTTTTGACGTTTCAGCGCATTGATCTCGAGATGCGCGAATGCCTGTGTCGACGGAAACGTTCGTTTTAATTAAGATGACTATGATGCTTTTGACTATTGTGAGCGACACGACGCATTGAGAATACGATACATGCGAGAGGATTCGGGAGCATATCAAAGAGCTTTCTATGTTGCTCTCTACGCTTTCTTTTTCTATTCAAGTCGAGAGCTTTATTAGGTGTTCTATTTGCATTCAATTCGAAGTAGCACTTCAATTGATAAAAAGAAAAGCAAGAATGTTACTTTCGAAGAATCGACATTTTTTTCTATTGCGTCGAACATTTTTCAAGGGGCCATTTCTCTTCTTCATAATTATACGACTTAAATGCAGCGATATTTCAATGAAAAGTGTTTTAAATAGCCGTCTTGCACTCCGCTGCTTCAAGATGAGGTAATAAAAATACGCGCGTCAACCGAATGACTCCATTCAACAAACAAACAAAAAATCCGCGCCCATTCATCCCGGGATCCAAAAGGAATTTTCATTTGCTGAATAAGATCCGGAGAAGAATAAAATCTTTGGCGTTCATTCTCGAATGTACGTTTTGATAAACTGCGGCGGGAGCGTATTTCATTCGAGGCCGAAAAGGAGAGCGGGTCGGACGGCCATAACTCATTTTTCTGCGAAGTAAGGAGGGTGGGGGGACAGCAGACGAAATTTCATCCCGAAAAACCCTTCGCGCGGAGCGAGCAGCCGCGACGTCGGCTCGAACCTCATGCCTAATGCATCCGCGCGCCGTCGCCGTCGCCGTCGCCGCCGCCGCCGCCGCCGCCGCTGCGTCTAATTCTATTTCCGTAGAAGCGCGACGTACGCGTATACTCGCGATGCCTATGCATGAGCCGACGATGGATTCCTTCTCTCTCTTTGTGGCCGGATGACGAATAAATACTCGACAAAAAATGAGAGCCAGAGAAATTTGTCACTTCTCTTCCACATCGGAGACGTTCTTTTCTCATGCTAATGACTACGAGGGAGGGATAGAATTGAAATTCTTTTTCGCCGCTGCTCCGCGAGTCTTCCTCCGAAGGGACTCTCGTGGTAATTAGGCTCGTTGGATAACATTGGGATAGTCGTTTCCGTTCGCGCGCGAATTCGGCAAATTTCCGCGGATAAATTTCAGTTAGACGCTTAAAGCACTTGAAGCACGCCAATTACTCGCGGGTGAAGAAGAAGGGGGGAAAGAAAAACAAAAACGAGTTTAATTCAATGTAACCATTCAATTGAGCTAATGGTGTGCAGATATAGATAGCCGGCGGCGGCGCTGGTTTCTTCGAAACGATCTAGATCGTTTCTCGCTCGTTCCTGTCGCCTCTTGCTTCCAGCGGCTTATCATTTTCAATTTTACGTGCAAATTAATGAAATTCCATGTATAATTTCAAGCGAGTAATTTACCGAATGACCCGATTGAATTCAGCTCTAAATTGCGCAGCGTTGAAAGCCCATTATTCAATCTCTAACGAGTACGCCTTGTACACTTCCAATATATACTCGCTTGTAAACCCATCAGCGGGTCTGCCTTCAATAATTCAATGTCAAAGTAGTTTTGCTTTTCGAACTGTTCGTGGAAACGCTGGCTTGCAAGCACAACGCAGGATTCAGCAACAGCTGTTCCGTAAGTCAAAAAAATCCAATGCTGCGCTTGCGAAAGGGAAGGAGAGGGGTCGGTTCAATTTAATGAAAACACGCGACCCTCCATTGCGCACACGCGACTTTCCCCGGCGTATGGGCGATTCGTTTGCTCGACGTCAAACTAATCTCACTCGCGCGATAGGCTATTCGGTCTCGTTTGATAGCAAGGCGTTAAATGTTTGTCTCGTTTCTACTCGCGCCGTTCGTTTTCATTTTAGAACCAGGAGAGCTTTTGTTATTTACGCACATGGCCTGTCGACACCTTCATCCCTCCGCACCTCGGGTTTACCGACTCCTGCTCCAGCTGATTGCATTTTAATTAAAATTTTTAAAAAATAAACAAAAAGAAAGAAAAAATGACGAGGAAGAAACCGCGCTAAAATCGATCGCACACCGTGCATTTCTTTTTTATCAAATTTAATTGTACAGCTCGATGAGCTTAAATAATATTTTAAACGAAGATAATTACGATCGTCGGCTTAATTGTATGTGCATTAGCAGCGAACTTTCATTAAAGCTTCACAGAGGTGAATAAATGCAACGAGAGCAAATTGCAGCGCGAACGATAAAAATGCATCAATTAGAAATACGCAATAACAAAAAAACCTCGCAGTACTCGTTGCTCCGACACATTTCAGAAAAACGTCAACTCGCTGGATATTAAAAAGAAACTCATTAACGAGAAGCACAAGGGACGCGTATCGAGCGTAACACTCGAACTGTGAAGAATTCATTCTGATGAAAATAAAAAAGAAACAATCCAGCATCTTACCAGCTGACGGTCGTGTATTATATGTCGATTTGAGAGACAAAGCACAAATTGAGGAAGAGGAAAGGACACAAAGGCCACTTTCCATTGCAATTTCGCGTGTCTGAGATATCAAAAATAAAACGAGCTTATCGTCTTGCCACGAAAAGAGGAGAATACATGCACACACACGCGTACGTACACAAAGCGTATACAGCGAACCGGAATATAAGTATAACCTCGAAGCTCGCTATGTAAACTAAAAAAACGGAGAGCAACATGAAGCCTCCATCTTTTTTGACGAGAAAGCGCAAAGAAGAGGAGAAACTTACCGTTGGCCACGGTCGGCGCGTAAATCGCAAAAGTGCAATCACTGATACACAAGCGAGACGACAATAAACAACGGAAACAAGTATGGAAGTAGCACGCGCGTCGAAGAGAAGGCGTACGCACGTTGCGCCGCATGCCGCGCGCGACTACTACTGCCGACAGCCTGGAGGCCCGAAACGAGTACAGCAGTCGCCGGCGAGCAGTCGTTCTCTCTCTCTCTCTCTCTCTCTCTCTCTCTCTCTCTTTCGCCGCCACGCGCTCCCTCTCTCTCTCTCTCTCTCTCTCTCTCTCTCTCTCTCTCTCTCTCTTTCCGTGCACGTCGACTCTACACGCACACACGTAAGTACGTTAAGCACAGCTGGGGCACCGACATCGCCACACCCTCGTCTCACTCCCACGTGCGTGCGCTGTGTGTTTTCGTCTTCTTCGGTTTGTTGCTGCTTATACTCGCGAGCTAAGCTGAGGCTACGGAGCTGCCGGCATCGCGCGCGTCCGTGACAAAACAACGATGTAGCAGTGCGACGACAACTACGCGCAGCGCTAATGACGGGCTTTTGTTCGACACGCGATTATTACTCAGCTGAAACTTGCCGAACGACTTGGAATGGAACTGTAGATAAGTGTCGAGTGTGCGGCCCTGTTTTTTCCGGAGTTGCCTCGAGAGATCAATCAGTGGAAGCTACCAGGCGACAGTCCCGAAGCGATCAACGTGAAAAGCTGAGGAAAATTTTGGTTCTCTCTGTGCTGCGTTTTACTGTCCAGCAATCTTTTTATAGATCTTGAATAGAGAAAATTGACTGCATAATGAAGAAAGAAGCGATCAGAGTGACAGCATCGCGATTAAAGATATGACAAAAGGAAACTAAAAGAGCTCGTGGTAAACTCTTAGACGTCGACTAGATATAGCCTGAGTTTCTTATCTGTGATTTTTCAGATGCAAGATTGAACTGCGATAGTCTTGTTGAGGGACCAGCCACTTTTCATCTCTGAAAGTACTTTTTTTGCAGCATCCAAATCGTTCTAATAAAGATAACGCCATGGAACTTTATTCAGCTTGGTTAGTCGAAGTATGCGTTTGTATTCGCTTTTTAAAATCTCAATCTCAGACTTCACATAATCACTGCACACTTGGCATCTAATTTCTTCAAAAGAAGTTGGCACTGTGCATAACTGGGAATGTCTGAGTGAAGAAAAAAAATTTACATTCAGCGTTAATTCGATTTCTCGCGAGCTTTGACTGCACTCGAGCGAAGCACTTTCGACTAAATGTTTACGGTTGCTAAACAGTTTCTTTGCAACTTCGTCAAGGGAAATTGTAATATGTAATAGTTTATTGGAAAAGTGCTCTCAACGCAAAGACGTTGGTTGCGTAAGGAGCAAACTTGTTCGAGAAATTTAATGCTACGATATTCTGTTTGCTCGGAATTTCCAAAACTAAAGTTTACGCGGAACTTAAAGATCGACTTTGAGATGAAAAAAGTTTGATGGCGAGATGTAGGAACATCAGAATGATTTTCACGATACGCTGAAGAGAGCTTTCAATTGTTAGCGATAAAACTTGGCTGGCCTTCATCATAATTTCCTGAAATCCACTATTGGCATCTATTATTCGAACTAGAACAATTTAACTTTGCGCTCGTGGTTCATGCAGAGCAAACTCAGTCTACGCAAGAAGTGCGTGACAGATTCCATAGGAAATAGTTAGATTCATGGCAATCAAAGTCTATATATCAATCATATACATTTGAGCTTCAGTTTTTCTCAAATTTACTCATCACTATCCCATCCACTTCGGAACAAACGAATATTATTCCGCAACGTTGGGACGCAGAACAACGAGATTCGATTGCAGAATTCGTTTGAGACTGCGCGCTTGTCTGTTTCCGCATCCGTTCGGCTTGCACGCGGAAAAACTAATTCCACATTACATCCGCGCGCGTGCATTCTTTCTCGTTTCCCTACGTGTCGCCGGCGCGGCGTCGCGTGCGCGCCCCATTGTTTTTGCAATTCGTCATTAGCGGCTCTGCTGTTTTTCCAGGCGGCGCCTGCGTTTATTTACGCGCCGCTCTCTCGTGCTAGCTCGTAATTATATTTGTTCGTTGGACAACACCTTGACAAACTTCCAGAGCACTCGTATCCGTGCGTTTAATTTACTTGTCGTGCGTTCTTGTGCCGACGTCGCAGCGCGCCGCCACCTCGATTCGCGCCGTTTGTTCTTCTTTATGTTTTCCTAGCGCGCGACGTTCCAAAATAATTCTTTACCTTGTTGGTCAATAACGTAATTGCAGCCACGTTACGTGCGCGCAGTCAAAGCAGCGCATTCCCTTAACGGGGAACGGATGTTATTTTAATTTTCGAAATTATTATTGCAAGCAAATGAGATGTTTTCCATTTTCAAGGAAATTGAAATGTCATCAAAGCGAAAAAGAAATGCGATTCCTTTCAATGTTCTGTCTGATAAGAACAACTGGTCCTTTTGCAAACGTTTAAAGAGACGCCACCTAAATGAAGGACTGCAGCGCAGTGAGTTTCAATGTGGGAAAGATCAAAGTGGAAAATTCACGCAGGTCGTAACCTCTTTTAAAGAATAGGAAAAAAAACAGAAGAAAAGGCAGAGCGAGAGAGAAAGAAACGAGCTCGCCATATTTTCCTTGCAGCCGCCGAGTACTCGACTCTTTTATACTTCCTACGTCGACGGCGGCGGCAAGTCTGTTATTATCATCTCGCTCGTCGGTGGTGGTGCACTTTTCACCCTTTATGCAACCACGCTACAAGATCGTTTATCTCTCTCACTTTCTCTCCCTCCCTCTCTCTCTCTCTCTCTCTCTCTCTCTTTCTTTGGATATTCTTATTTCTTGCCACGAAGTTTTATGTATTAACAACGCTCTGTTGTTCCTTTGTTTCGTCACGAGTTTACATTTCTTTGTAATAAATCTTGTGTTTCGTATAGAGGACTCTTTCGTTTCGCACTTTGTGGAAGTGCGAGCACACGGTGAACGATTTCATCGGAAGAACCCTCGAAAAAAAGAAAACAACAGCATATCCCATGGGTCATTCGAGGGTAGAGTAAGTAGTTTCGAAAAGCCATCGAATTGAAATTCAGCTGGAGTCTGCTTTGGCTGCGAAATAAAGCATTGTATCGCACAGACGGCGCCAAAGCAAGCAAGCAACACGAACGCAGCTGGCCCAGTTTGGGCTTCCGATTGCATAAAATCCCAGGGCGCATTGCCATTCCGATTGCTCGGTGCAATTGCCTCGGCGAAATCTCGAATTTCTTCACCCATCTCCTGCCAGCCAGACTCAGTTTTTATCAAGAAGAGGAAGAGGAAGAAGAAGAAGAAGAAGAAGGGGAGGCGTATTGGCTACTATGGAGCCCGCACATCGGATTGCGCCAAATCCAATTGGCCGGCAGTTGCCATCGAACTTGCTCGCTCCCGCGGGACTGCACGGGGGCGAGCGTGCATTAGGCTCGCGGCTTGCAAGCGAGGCTCTATGGCAACGCCTAATGAGAGAAATTCAAGCTTGCCGCGCGCGCTTACTTACACACAATGCGCGAAATTATACGCGGGCGACCTCGCGGCTAATTGAAATTCGGCGCGAGCTTCGATCTGCGAGAGATTACTGCAATTATACGCTTGGACGAGGACGAGACGGTATAGCTTCGCGCGCGACGCCGGATGAGCGGAGCGGCGGAGCTCGCGAAAAAAAGACGAAATTTGTTTTTCCTTTTTGTCGTGCGTCGCGACTGCTCCGCATGCCAATTTATGCGCTTTCCGGAAAATTTACGTTTTCTCGTCGTCGCCAACGTTTCGACTGTATTTCGCGAATTGTAATTGAACGCGGATGGATTTCAGCTCGAAAATGGTACGAGGCAAGAGTTGAGAAAAATTGGATGCCAAGTGTAAGGTTCGGTATACTGACGATTGCATCGGCGTGCACTCTGAGCGTATATCGTTATTTCGAAAACTATCGAAACCCATCGACGCGCAAAGTCAATAAACTACGGAGAAATACTTGAGCCGTACGAAATGAGGCGAAAGCTCTTTATTCATCTCGGCGAGCTATCAGTGTTTTCCAGATATATTTATACGAACACAGACATCGTAACGGGCGCGCGTCGATACCACATATACGACGTAATCGCGGCCGGCAAATGTTACGCAGGGCCATCGACCAGGCGCTTCCACGCGAGTAGATAATGGGGGGGCTTCGCTGGCGACGCGATAATTCTGCGCGAGCGCGTGCAGCGCAAGGCATCCTGCGCGTCGGCTAGACGCTGCCGTACGACGCGAGCAGAAACGAGAGTGCACGGCTGACCGCCGACTGGCTGTTCCCGGCTGCTCCATCAGACCGGAAGCTCGCCTGGCGCTCTATATTTTCTCATTTGGTTTGTAGCCTGCGCCGTCGCCCCCACGGCTCCACGGCCGTCGCGCGCCCTATCTACGCCCACGAGCACGCGGCAGAAGCGCGTTCCGTGCAAAGCGTGGATTGCGGCTTGCTCCTTTGCGACCGTGATTGTTTGCTTTCATGACGAGGGAACTTCGAAAATCTTGATTTTTCTAGGCGTTTTTTACACGCTATTCCAGCATTCTTTCTCTCCGCACTAGCGAACTTGAGAATACTCAAATTTTCAATTGTTCTTGCAACAAAAGATTATAACAAAAGTTTTCAGTGATGAAGCACCAGCAAATTTCAATTAGTACAATGGCAGTTGCATAAACACAATAACCGATCAATAGAAATGAAAACACCGATACTGATTAATGTTGCGTCCTCGTTAATGTATCGCATAACGTTCAAAGACCTTTCGACAACACTTTTTCATTTTGATTGCACAAAATTTACATAATTACTTTGCTCGATAAAAAAAATGTGGACGAGAGATTAACACTACGCATAAAAGTATCGCAGTGGCAATGACTTTGTCGCTACACGACGTAAACATTAAACAGAGAGAAAGCGGAAAAAAGTTCAAAACAGTTTATCAACGCAATGTGTCATTCATCTTGCTGGTGTCGTTGCATGCGTAAAAGCGTGCGATTGCACATTGATTAATGGACGCAGAAAAAGCAGCAGTCGCGACGCGCGAAACGAAAACAAAAAAAAAGCATTGCCGGCGCGTCTCCGATATACGTACGGA